ATGGCGGCCAGTGCACGCCTGAGGCGGGCGGCCTGTCCTACAACATGCCCCTGGCCTACCTCTTCACCGTGGGGGTCGTTTTCTTTATCACCTGCATCACTCTGGTGTACAGGTAATAGCCCTCCACTCTAGGACCCTGTCTCTGAGCGCCATTGATCCACCCATGCATCCATCTGTCCATCCATCCATCCATCCATCCATCCAGCTACCCATCCATTCATCCGTCCAGCTACCTATCCATCCACCATCACTTCATCATCCATTCATCCATCCATCATCACTCCATCCATCCATCCATCCATCCATCAACCGTGCATCCATGGATCCTGCCTTCCTTCCATTCATCCATCCACACTTTCATCCATGTACCCATCCACTCCACAAACATTTGCTGTGCTCTGCTCAGGACAGGAAGGTAAGTGAGTTTGGTGCATGTCCTTGAGAAGCTTGCTGTCTACAGGAGAAGACAGGCCAATGAAGAGGCTGGGAAACTCCTGGTGTTATGTTGCTCTGGTGTTTTGGAGCATAGGAGAGGAAGTCAGACCAGCTCCCCAGGGCGGTGGCACTCATCCCAGAGAGGGAGGTTAAATAAGGGTGGGCTGGAGAAAGGCCAGGGAAGGTGTTTTGGTTATCGGGAGAGGCAGTGCAAAGGCCCTGAGGTGAGCCAGCACCCTCCGCAGCCACGTCTGGGTGGGAGGCAGCCGGCCATGCTGGTGGGGAGTGGAGCCTGACCCCTCTTCTAGCCACTTGGGGCTGGCGGGCACCCTGTTGGTCAGGGCTGATCTAAGAGTGGCCGGCAGTCCACACCAGGAGGCTGAGAGCTCTGGGCTAGAGGTGGGGCAGGGAGAGTGGCCGGAGGCCCATCCAGCGCCGGGAGGGCTCCCCTGAGTGGGTGGTAGGTTTTGGCTGCAGGGAGCATCCCATCTGTCTTCTGGCCTCTGTGCCTTCCGCCCCATCTCACCCTCTGCCTGCCTCTGCTTCTCCCAGCATGTCCCGCTCTTTTGGGGAGAGCTACCGGGTAGGCAGCACTTCGGGGGTCCACGCCGTCACTGTGTTCTGTTCCTGGGACTACAAAGTGACTCAGAAATGGGCCAGCCGCCTCCAGCACGACAATATCCGAACCCAGCTGAAGGTGAGCTGCCCAGGGGCCCTGGGGCCGCTGTCCCCCACCCCGTGTCCAGGGAACACCAGTCAGGGCCTGCTCCAGTGGGAGAGGGTTAGGGCTGCTCTCCGGCCCTCTCCCCGGAGTCCCCGTGTCCTCCGGCCCCCGCGGGCAGAGGCCTGCGGGGCGCCAGCTGGCATGTGTTTCGGCCCCCAGAATAGCCCTGGGGTACACATGAGGACACGGAGGCCTCAGTCCTTTGCCCAAGGCCTCAGGGCTAGAGGGTGGCTGGCCTGGGCCTCGCGGAAGGTTCTCTGCCTTTCTGGGGTTTCCCGCTGTGGGATTCAGGTCAGGGCAGCTCATGGCTTTGACCCGGCTGATGGGCCCCCAGGGAGTGCCCTGGGGCTCCGGGTCAGCGAGGGGACGGCTGTCCACAGGCAGGACAGCTCAGGAGACAGGACTGGGGAGGGTGCATGGGAGAGGCTGGGGCAGGCCTCAGCCTGCGGCCCCGTCCAGCGGTCTCCTGGTGCCTGGAGGGGCCCCAGAGCAGGGGGAGCGACGGGCCGTGGCCCCAGGGGTGGGCGGGAGGAGACCCCCGGTGTTCCCTGAGCCTCCCTGTGTGTCTGCTCCACTTGTCCCCGGGGGTGTGGCGCGTGTGTCTGCGCGTCTCCGTGCGTCTGTGCTGCGGGTGACAGGCCCGCTGCCGCCCCCAGGAGCTGCTGGCCGAAGGGCAGCTGTGGCAGCGCCCCCCGAGGGCGTGCGGACGGCTGCGGCAGGCGGCCGTGCTGGGGCTCGTTTGGCTGCTGTGTTTGGGGACCACGCTGGTGTGCGCCCTGGCTGTATACACCTTCTCAGAGCTCGTGATCCAGGTGCGGGGAGGGCGTGGGGGTCCTCGCGGAGGCTCCGGCCGTGGGGTCAGATGCCTGCTTCGTTGGGCCCCGCCCCTTCCGCCCGGGCCCTCCCTGGAGGCCGCTTCCCTCACAGCCTTGTTCTCATTCGTGTTGTCTCAACACTCTTCCTATTTTTCTGTCCTTTTGTTTTCTCCTCTTCTTTTGGTTTCTCTTTTCTTCCCCCACACCTGTGTTCCATCCCCCATCTTCCCCCTCCCACCCCCCTTCCTGTGCGGTTTGAACACTGGGCCTGGGGTGGAGGGTGGCGTGCCTGCCACTTCCACCCACTCCTTCCGCCCCGGGAACCCCTCCCTGCGGCCCCTCCTCCGTCTCGGGCCCATCAGTGGACCTGCCTCTGTCCTTGGGGCGCTGACCTCTGGCTCTCCCCCTGCCGTAGCAGAGCCACGGGCCTGCCGAGCGGGACGGGGCGCTGCTGGCCCTGCCCCTGGTGGTCTGCCTTCTCAACTTGGGGGCCCCCTACCTGTTCCGCGTCCTGGCCATCCTGGAGTGGCACGACTCCCCGGTGCTAGAGGTGTACGTGGCCATCTGCAGGTGCGTGGCTGGATGGGACCGCTAGGTGGGGCTTTCTGGGGCGGGACCTCTGTCTCCCAGGCACCCCTCCCTCAGCCTGTGCACACCCCCCCCCCCCCTGTTTCTGCAGGAACCTCATCCTCAAGGTGGTCACCCTGGGTATTCTTTGCTACCACTGGCTGGGCCGCAGGGTGGGCACCCTGAAGGACCAGGTGAGGGCGGGCCGGGCGGTGCTGGCAGAGGCGTGGGGCTCCCCGGGCCCCTCAAGAGGGTCTTCCCGGGTCCCAGGTGGGGGGTGGACGTGGTGGCCCCTCACAGCAGCCAGCCCTCACCTCATCTTACCTGGCCTGGTCTACAAGCGTATTGGAGGCCCCCAGGTGGGCACGGGGTGGGGGGCACCAGGGCACTGGGGGCTGAGGCCGCTTCTGTTTCAGTGCTGGGAGGACTTTGTGGGCCAGGAGCTGTACCGGCTCATGGTGATGGACTTCATCTTCACGCTGCTGGACACGCTTCTGGGGGAGCTGGTGTGGAGGTGAGGCCCCAGGGGCGGGTCCCTGCGCTCACCTCCTGGGCACCTGGGCTTCCCCTGCGGAAGGGCTCCTGGCATCCTCACCTGTGTGTTGGAGGTGAGGGTCACTCAGGCCGTTCTCAGGCCTCTGAAAATCAGGACCTGACCCTAGATTGGGGCCATAAATCTCTACCCGTGACGGCTCTTCTGTAAAATATCGATAAACTGAGAAAAACCTTTAGGAGACAGGATGTAACCTATTTTGAGACTGGAAAGGAAAACAGGTTTCAAAATGATGCATATGGTATAATCTGTCTCATACAAAGGAAAAAGGGGTTGGGAGGAAAAACAGAAAGTAGAGGAACGTTTTCAGATGTCCTGGCTACGAGTGCTAGCATCGTAGGTGTCGTTTCTTTCTTTCTGTGTTTTCTTTGAGAACGTATGAATTTAATAATAATAAGACTTTTAAAAAGCCGTAAAACAGGGACTTCCCTGGCGGCGCATTGGTTAGGAATCCGCCTGCCAATGCAGGGGACATGGGATCGAGCCCTGGTCCGGGAAGATCCCACATGCCGCGGAGCAACTAAGCCCGTGCGCCACAACTACTGAGCCCATGCTCTAGAGCCCACGAGCCACAACTACTGAGCCTGTGCTCTAGAGCCCACGAGCCACAACTACTGAGTCCATGTGCCAGAACTACTGAGACTGCGCTCTAGAGCCCGTGCTCTGCAACAAGAGAAGCCACCGCAATGAGAAGCCCGTGCACTGCAATGAAGAGTAGGCCCCGCTTGCCGCACCTAGAGAAAGTGTGCGCGCAGCAACGAAGACCCAACGCAGCCAAAAAAAAAAAGGCAGTAAAATTTTATTTGATGCTGATGTGCACATTTATACCTGCGTGTATCCGTACATGCTTAGAAAAAGGACGGAGATGAAGCTGGCTGCAGTGTGGACCCTTCAGGGTGGGACCCCAGGCCGCCATCTCCCCTCTGCATCACTGGGCACCCTGGTGGGGCGGGCAGGGTCTTCAGCTTGGTGTGCGGGTCGGGGTGGGGACGAGGGTCTGTCTTGGGGATTGGCCCTCCTGCGTGACCCCAGTGGTTCTTCTGCCCAGGCTCATCTCTGAGAAGAGGTCTCAGAGGAAGGGGAAGCCTGAGTTCGACATTGCGGGGAATGTTCTGGAGCTGATTTACGGGCAGACCCTGACCTGGTGAGCATCTCCCACTTGTGTCCCAGTGCCTGGCCCTTGGGGAGGCTGACCGCTTCCCCCTGGGCCACAGCAGGACCCAGCCCTGGGAATCTGGAGTGACCTGACCCTCACTTCCCTGGGGACCCAGTCTCAGCTCCCCAGGGTCCCAAGCCCGAGCCAGGCCCGGGTGGCCTTTCTAGGCCCGGGGAGCCACCCAGGCGTCAGGACCCAGCCTCTGGGATGCAGCCCTGTCCTCCCCGCGCTCTCCTCAGGCTGGGGGTCCTCTTCTCCCCGCTCCTGCCCGCCGTGCAGATCATCAGGCTGCTGCTCCTCTTCTACGTCAAGAAGGTAAAGGTGCCGCTGGGTCCCTGGGAGGGCGGCGGGGCCCGGGGAGAGTGTGCAGCCAGCGTGGCCGCTGGGCCGGCAGATGCGGAGCCCTGACCCAAGTGATGTGGGGCTGGCAGCCCAGAGCCGCCCTCTGGGGTCAGTCCCACGGGCCACAGCTGACCCCCGTCCCGTCCCTGCATCACTGCCTTTGGCAGGCTGGGCAGCATCCCGTCAGGGTCCGTGGTCACTGCCAGGTGCCTGTGTGCTCGGGCCAGGGCTTAGGGCCGGGGGGCTGGGAGGTGCTCAGGACCAGGTCCTTCTCTCTGGTCCTGTGTTTCCTCCTCTGTGCAACGTGGATGCTGCTCTGGGGGGTGCTGCCGGAGATAACGTTTATAAAGCGTCGGGCACAGTGGAGACCTTCAGTCAGTGGAGGTGGCTTTTAGTATCAACCCTTTCACGTGCGGGTGACTTGGCCAGCCTGCTCCCCGTGAGCCTCAGTCTCCCCTCCGTAGACCGGGAGGTAGCCCCGCCGGCCCTTTCCAGCCTGTGGGCTGAGATTCTGAGTGTCTGCTTCTCTGCGGGGCTGTCCTGGGGGATAGGCTCGGGCTCCCCCTGCAAGCAGAACACCCCCAGCCCACTGCCGGCCTTGCCCCTCTTCCCTCTTGGAGGCCGCACCAGGCCTGGGGGAGGGTGGGTGTCAGGGTGGTGGCAGAGCGCAACCTTTGTCCCCAGACCAGCCTGATGGCCAACTGCCAGGCACCCCGCAGGCCCTGGAAGGCCTCCCACATGAGCACTGTCTTCATCTCGCTGCTCTGCTTCCCCTCCTTTCTGGGCGCTGCCGTCTTCCTCTGCTACGCCATCTGGCAGTGAGTGGGCCCTCGGCCTCCGGGGGGCGGGATGGGGAGCTGCCCCCTGGGGCCGCCGTGGCTGGTGGCCGCGGTTTGGGTGGTGTGGAGGTGGCCTTTGTCCGGGCCGAGGGGTCAAGCTGCCCGCCCTCTTCTCCCAGGGTGAAGCCCTCGAGCGTCTGCGGCCCCTTCCGGACCCTGGACACCATGTATGAGGCAGGCAAGGTGTGGGTGCGCCACCTGGAGGAGGCGGGCCCCAGGGTCTCCTGGCTGCCCTGGATCCACCGGTACCTGGTGGAAAGTGCCTTCCCCGTCTACTTGGCATCGGCTCTGCTGCTGTGAGTGCGGGACAGGCCCGTGGGGGGGGGGCCCTGGTCTCCCTCCCCCGGGGCTCCTGCGCGGGGGGGCCCAGCCTGAGCGGCGTCTCCCGCAGGGCCGTGATCTACCTCAACATCCAGGTGGTGAAGGGCCAGCGGAAAGTCATCTGCCTCCTCAAGGAGCAGCTAAGCAACGTGAGTGCCCCTTGGGCTCCCACCTCGGGGGTGCCTGCTGGCTCACACCCGCAGCCCCTCCAACCCCTCCCCCCCGCCCCCCCCCATCCCCACTAGAGGCCGCCCAGCCTTGCCCGCAGGCTGTCCCTCCCTCCCTGCGCAGTTACTGGGCCTCCCGTCACCTTGAAAACAAGTCACTGCCCCATAGGTCAGAGTCACTTGGGCTGGCATTTCCCCAGACAGGAATGGCCTTTCACCTGGTCCTGTCCTCCCGGGGTCTGGGCTGGCTGCTCAGGGGCACCTGTGACAGCGGGTCTCCCCTGAACACTTGGTGGGCCCCTGACCTCATCCCCAGGGCCCCAGCCTTGCCCCCAGGGCCCCGACATCACTCTCCCCACTGCTGTTTCTTCTTTTTTCCTTTTCCTTCCCAGTTTCTCACTTGTGTACTTAATGCTTGAGCCCACCTTGGGGCCAGCTGGTGCCTGTGTCCCCTAGGCGGTCACATCAGGGCTGGTGGCCACCAGCCACTCTTCGTTAGAAATGACTTGGGGGTCAGCTGTTGGGTGTCAGCCGAGGCAGGACAGGGCTGGGGTGCAGCTCGCCTGTGACTCTGCTGCTGGCTAATTGGTGCAGGGACTCTGGGTCAGGTCTTCTTGCGTGGAAGGATGCCCTGGAGGCAGCTCCCGCTTTTTATACGGTTATAAGTAAGGCAGTACAAGGTAACCCCCCTCCTCCCCTTTCACAAACCGAGGGCAGGGCTCAGGCTGGGTATTTTGGCTGAGGTACAGCTATTGGAAGTGGGCTTTTCCCAACCGGCTCCTGCCCTACCTTGTAGAGTTTTGGGGCCTGCGGTGTCCCGTGGTGGTGGGACGCACAGCAGCGTCGGGAGGGGAATCCCAGCTCCGCCCGCCGTTCCTCTAGGAGCTGAAGGACGGTTCCCCAGGCGGCCCTTGCTGCAGGCTGTGTCCTCCCAAGGCCGAGGCTGGCCCTGGTTCTGAGGCTTTGGGGCCACACTTCTGATCTCAGCCTGCGCTCGGAGCATCTTTTCCCTGGCCTGGGCAGGTGGCTTACTCAGGTGCACAGCCCTCTGTACCCACCAACTCGACGGAGAGAAAACGGGGAGGTCTCTTAAGGAGGTCCCACCTCGTAGGTGTCTCAGCGCCTTTGTGGGTGAGCCAGCGTCCCCAGCGCCCAGAACGCATCCTGATGTTTACTCAGTCCTAGACTTAAAGCTTTATGTGCGTTTTCACAGTCACTTGTCGAAAGAGCCCTGCGTTGGCCAATACCTGCCCCAAAGACGTCTTTGTCCTAATCCCAGAAGCTGTGAATATGCCACGGTTACCTGGCATTGGGGTTGTGGGATTAGGTTCGCAGATGGAATTACGATTGCTAATCAGCTGAGCTGGACGTGGGAGATTATCCTGGATTATTCGGGTGGGCAGATGTAATCGTAAGGTCCTTAACAAAGGAAGTGGGTGAGTCGATGTCAGAGAAAGAGGTGTGAGAAAGACTTGACTGGCCATTGCTGGCTCTGAAGGAGGCCATGAGCCCAGGTATGTGGGCAGACTGAGGAGCTGGAACAGGCAAGGAAAGGTTCTCCCCAGAGGCTGCAGAAGGAGCCAGCCCTGCTGACTCCTTGATTTCTGCCCACTGAGACCCATTTTGGACTTCTGACCTCCAGAACTGATGTTGCATTTGGGTTGTTTTAAACCACTAAGTTTCCATAATTGATTAGGTCAACAATAAAAAACGAATAAAAGCCCCATGACACAGACATTTGTATCCCTCTTTTACAGATGGTGACCGAGGTCAGAGGGGAGGTAATTTGCCCAAGACAGACTAAGTGTCAGGGCCGGCTGTACATTGAGTCAGGCTGGGTAGGCAGCCCTCACTGTGCAACTGATCACATTTCCCTTTTCACCTTGGCCACTAGGAAGCTTAGATGCGTGTGTGTGCCTGCGTGCGTGCGTGCGTGCGTGCGTGCGTGTGTGTGTGTGTGTGTGTGTGTGTATGCCCACTACTTGGCTCTTGGTATTTCTTTGTCCTTGTTTGGTGCCTCTGTCCCCCTTCTTTAAACTTTTTGTGCTTGTGATGTCAGACACTCTTTGTGAGCTACCCCAAGTGCAGTCTGGAACAGGACACTTCTGGACGGACACGTGATGGCTGTTTTCTCAGCCTTTGTGTTCTGGTGTTTCTAGGAGGGGGAAGACAAAATCTTCTTAATCAACAAGCTTCAGCGTATCTATGAGAGGAAGGAGAGGAGCAGGTGAGGGGCCCTGGCGGGGAGTGTGTGGGGGAGAAGGAACGGGTGCTGCACCGGGAGGCCTCTTCCCGCCGGCGGTGGGGAGGGAAGTGGCTGCCCGCCTCCCTAGGTGGCCCGCAGCCTCTTGGGACTCCCCTACCCTCTTTCCCCACCTTTCCTCCTCAGGTGTGTGGGGCATTTGGGGGAGGAAGAAAAGTTTACTGAGAAAGGAAAAAAAAAGAAATGAAGGAACTGTGTGCAGGGGGCAAGGTGGAACTGGGGGTCTCTCATGCCCTTTCCCTCCTCTCTGCCACCCCCGTCTTTCTTTTATTTATCTTTTGGCTGTGTTGGGTCTTAGTTGCGGCACGCGGGATCTTCGTTGAGGCATGTGGGCTCTTTTGTTGTGGCGCGTGGGTTCCAGAGTGCGTGGGCTCTGTAGTTGTGGCACGCGGGCTTAGTTGCCCCAAGGCACGTGGGATCTTAGTTCACCATCCATCTTAGTCCCCTGCACTGGAAGGCGGATTCTTTACCACTGGACCACCAGGGAAGTCCCTCTGCCACCCGCGTCCTGATGGGTCAGGGGTCAGCCTGGCTGGCCTTCTCCTCAGACCCCTGCCCCCATTCTCCCCATGAGGTGAACAACCCCCCCTGCCCCCCCCCCCCCCCCCCCCCCACCAGCCCCACCACTGGGTATTCACAGTACAGTCCCAGCCATCAAAGAATGTCAGCCTATGTGAACGGGCAGACAAGAAACTGAGAGGGAGACAAGGATATAGAATCTGCTGTCATGTAGACCAACTCAATTCACCCCCCCCCGATGCTGCTGCCTCAGCCTCGGCTGCCCTGGCGCGGGGCTGGGGCTGGAGGCTCCTGTGGCCTCACGTCTCACCCTTCAACTGTTACCTGCGGCTGAGCCCAGGGAAGGGGAGATGAACTCAGACATCGTCCTGCTGCCTGGACAGACAGGCCACCCATGGGAATGCACACACCCCCCTCCTCGACCCCCGCCCGGCCAGGTGGGCCAGCTGAGGTCTGCAGGTCGAGGCCCCTGGGGCTCCCCCGCCCCGACCCCGGGCAGCGGGAGCCCCCAGAACGAGCCATCTAACAAGATCCCCTGCCCACACCACTCCCTCCCTTGCCAAGGCCTACCGGTGGTGAGTCCCGGCCTCGTCCGGCTCCTTCCACTTCTCTCCAGAGCCTTTCAGCCCTGGGAGGCCTGGAAACAGCTCCTGAGGAAGGCTGCTGGGGATCCTCTGGCCTCGGCTGGCCAGAGGGATGACCGTGGGGCTTCTCAGCCTCCTGAGCGAGGCCCGCGCTGCCCAAGGCAACGGGGCCCCCTGCCAACTCCCCTTTCTGGCAGGGTTGGTAGAACCGAGGAGGCCGTGATGCCCCCGGCCGTATTCACAGACGACTGGGATGCCCAGTAGGACAGCGCTGGGCCTGGCAGCCCGGGAACCCCGTCACCCTCGGTTCCCATGGACCTGCAGGCACAGATGCCGCCTGGAGATGACCCCACTGGGACACGGGGAAGGTGATGGGAGTCTGCAGCCCGTCTGAGGCTGGAGCACCCCCGGTGGACCCTGCCCAAGACTCTCTTTATCCTGATTAAACACGTTTTGCGAAATGGGCTTGTCTCGTGGGAGTCCATGCTTATGTTCAGGCCTGCCCAGGTGCCCAGGGCTGTAGGTACAGCCCGTGGACGACCTCCAGGCCGAGGTCATGGGAACTTCGGCCTCGTGCATGTGCCGCCCCTTCAGTTTCTCCCTCTGGTTCTTCAAGGCTGCTCTCCTTGCCAGGCCAGGGCCCTGCGGCCTACCAGATGCCCGAGGGGCCTCCTCTGGTGCCAGGCTCCCCACGAAGCAGACTCTGTGCGGCTTCAGTGTTGAGCGCAGGGCGCCCTCTTCTGGCCCAGCCCCCGATGGCAGGGATGGACCGCGCTGCAGCTTCAGGCGCTGCCCTGCCAGCCTGTGCCATGCGGGACAAGTACGGGGGTGTGTGGAGGGTGATGAAGTGATGTTCTAGTCGTTACTGGGGTGGGGGTGGAGGGAAAATACAGGGCGGGACCGGGGTGGGTCATTTGCTAATAAGCCATGGGGAGAGGAGCCTGCAGGCCGAAGGGCAGCCAGCGTCCAGGCCTGTGGCAGGAGCGGGGTCTGGCTGCGGTGACTGGTGGGGGGTGACCCCGGGTCCTGCCAGGCTGTGCTTGAGGAGCCTGTGGGATGCTGCGGACCAGAGGGTGCGGGGAGGAGGGGACGGAGCTGTCACAGCTCCAGTGCCCGCTGTCCGCAGGAGCTGGGGCAGCGGCCGCCATGGGAAAGGATGGGAGAGCAGCGATGGGCCCACGTTCCTCATCCCAGCGGGGAACCTGGGAGAGCAAACCTGGCCTGGGGGGGGCCGGGCCGGCCTCGCAGTGAAGATGCCACTGCCATTAGCAGTGCTCCCAGCTGGGCCCACGCAGGGTGTTCCTGCATTTGGCAGACGTCCAGGGGCAGACTCACCTGACTTTCTCGGGCGCCCAGCAGATCAGGCAGGATTCCTGGGCCTGTTGTGGCTGGTCCCAGCCAGGAGGTGCTTAAGGACCTCTACGAGTAGCTGGCCTGGGCTGTGTCTCCGGGCATGAGTGCCGCTGGGTGAGTTCGGGTGGGGACACTCACCTGGGCTCTAGGTGCCAGCACCCCCCCAGATGTCTGCCTCTCTGTGAAGAGGACCGATGCACTTTTGGATGGATGGACATAAACTGACCGCGTGCAGTCTGAGCTGGCACTGCTACCAGCTATGACTGGGCCCACTTCGCCTGCCTTGCAACAACTATGAGGTCAGTCAGGACGAGCTGCTGACGACAAATAGGAGAAAGGCCCGTGGGTATTTCTGCAGAAGCCACGTGTGATGGTCATTTGGTGGCCCTGGCTATCGACTCAAACGCCAACTGAGGTGTTGCTGTGAAGGCGTCTTGTAGGTGCTCGGCACCCACAGTCAGCCGGCTTTAAGGGTTTTATCCCCAGTGACATGTGTGGGCCTCATCCAATCAGTCGAAAGTCCTCAAGAGCAAGGCTGAGATCTTCCGGAGAAGAAATTCTGCCTGGGGCTGCGGCACCACCCCGCCTGGCCGTGTACAAATTCCAGGCTCGCCAGCCCTGCTACTGTTGGAGCCAGGTCTCTTTACAGGCACACCTGTCGCCCATCGGAGCTGTTTAGCTGTTTCTGATACACACGTGGCCTCAAGGTCCTCCAGCTGGAATACTCCGTGGTGGATCCTGTGTGGGGCTGACCCAGCGAGCGATGGCTGTGGAGTCCGATGCGCCTGGATTTGACCCTCATCAGCTCATGGCCTCGGGCACATCCTGTAACCTCTCCCAGTCTCAGTCCTCACCTCAGGGGGCTGTTGAAACAACAGACACAGCCCTACACAGTGCTTAGCACCCTGCCTGGCATACAGTAGTTTTGCTAAAAAAAAAAAAAAAAAAAAAAAAAAAAAAC